CAGTCTTGTCGGCATTGTTGTGGATCGCGATATTCTCAAGGTTTTGCTATAACATTTAGATCAATCCAATTTGTAATTATAATTTGTGTTATTTCCTTTGTAGATTTCTGAGGAAGACTGCTGACTTCCATTGAATTTGTGTATTATTTGGCATTGACTTATCTCTGGGTGCGGTTAAAATGGTAGGAATATCACGTAGACAACAAACAAAAAAATAAATAATAAAAATAAAAAAAATATATATTAAAAATACATTGACTTTATACTAAAAGAAGGGCAACCCAAATTTAATTTATTTTATTATTATTGAACTCATCTAAAAATAAATTTAATAATTTCAGGCCTATTTTGAGGAATTTGATGAGAATATTTATTTCTTAAGATTTAATGAAATATTCATAGTTTCAAATTACTTGATAAGTAATAATTCAGCACTCAAAATTGAAGAGCAAAGGTTAGTGAATATCTCCAACATTTTTTTTACGTTATTATTATTAGTATTGTTTGAACTTTTAAATAAGTAGAACAAAAACAAAATCAAACGGTTTTGAACTGTTGAGAGATTAGTTAAGTGTAGATGGGCACATAGATTTACTTGTATTCTTGAAGTATGTTAGAATGCACACAAACTTATCTCAAGTGTTTATTTCTTTCAAGTAAGATTGCAAATGGACGTAAGAAATATAATTATAATTGCATCTTCATGGCAGTAATGGTTTGAAACATGATGAATCTGCTGTTTAATCTATTCATGTTAAAAGACTTGACTGGAAGTTGATTATTCCATCTTGGAAGACATTTTACTTCTCCAAACTCATATTATATAACATTTATGATGAACTTTAAATTCAAGATCATTTGATGAATTGATTTAAGCGCCAAACCATGACTTAGGGACTGTTGTCAGGATTACCGAGGGTGAGTGTAGAAAAGAATGCTAAAAAAAAGTATTGTAGTGTGCGCCTAATTTTGGTTCATGAGCTTTTGACCGCTTGAAATTGGAACATTTGTGCTTCAGTAATTATGGGATTACAGTAGATGGGAATGGATTATGATACAAATGAATGCTATGTGTTGGATCCTAAGTTGTCTTTGAGACACGGCCCGAGAGTTAGAGCTTATAAAGAATTCCGAGTTTAGTTGGGATGCTTAGGCAACTCTTGGGAAAGCTCATCCTCAACTTTAAAAGAATATTTTGGCCGAAAATTGAGAGAGTCTAGAGGCCTTGGAGGTTAGAGAGGTTCCATTAGTGTATAAAATTTTCAATAGAGTGTAACAATTGTGAGGAATTCTTCGAGAGATTGTAAGAGGGAGGGAAAGTGAGAGATTTCTTCCTCCTTGCTACTTCGAAGAGGAATTCTATGTGTTGTAAAGAAAGAAAGAGATTCAGAGGAACGCCGAGGAGTGTTCTTGGGGAGATTTTAGATATAAGTAATTTACTTATTGTAGTTTGTATGACTTTGATTTTATATATGAATTCCGAGTTTAGTTGTTTTTTTTCCATGAGATTTGAGTAGTTTTCTCTGTCTTTCTCCTTGTCTCAAGATTTGTGAAATGGTGATTTGAATTGGTGAAGCCATGAAAATGTTTAAGAAATTGTGATGATCTTTTCACTTCGATCTTAATTTAGTTTCAATATGGCTAATTGATTTGTTAAAATATATTGAGTTTTACAACTAAAGTGAAGATTACATCCAAGATTCGGGAAGGTCAAAGCCCTTGGAAGTTGGGTGTAAATAAATAGGAAAATAATATTATCGGGCGTAGAATTGGAGATTTTAGAGTGACAAACTATTACAAGAGAACGCTTCGTATGACTTCAACTGATCTTTTTTAGTATACTTTTATTGTGGAAATCATTTTATGAACATTTAACTACCTCATTTGCAATACAAAAATGATTAGATTATATATTGACTCATGCTTCATACTAGTCTTCTTATTGCATCTATCTTTATTTGTACCTATAGTTATGAGTAAAGTGTCCAAGCATATGGATCACAATTTGGAAATCTAAAAGCCTTCTTTTTTTTATGTCTCTAGAAATCTTTTTCTCTTTTACATTGAGTTTGCCTCTTTAATAGTGATCCAAATTGTCCTATAAAATTTTAGGTGGTTTAATTAAACTCAACATGATCTAACTTTTAATGGAACTCTCAGCTCCAATCTTTTGCCACTTTTTCCTCATCTTTGTGTGTTTTTATTTCTCGTGTAGAATCTAGAATAGGTTTCGGTAGACATGTTTAAATTCAACACAACTTTTTCCTCAATTAGAGTAAAATTTTCCTAAATACGATTAAGTTTTGGCGGCAATCTTAGGGAACTTAAACTAAGTGAAGAGACGTTTTTTCATACATAATCCTTCATTATCTTATTTTCATCTTTACTTGGACATTGTAATTATAGTCCCTCTATATAATGTTAAAGATAAGATATCAAACAACAATTGTTTAATATACACAATATGATTCCTGCCCACATCATCTCCTACCTCCCTTCGCATCTGCATTTCACTCTAACTTTCATTATTACTAACCAACAAGTTTTAAAAATTAGTCTAAACCGACTAGCCCAACCGATTCAACTGTGGACCAATTCTCGAGCTAGTTTGGTCTAAGTGTAACTTGAATTGTTGAACCCATCTATTTTTTAAAGAATCTTACAATTCTAGTATTGATCAATTTGTTGATTTTATGACTCGAATCAAATAACCAAAAATAAAAAAAAATGATTAAAAGTAAAAAAAATTAATTAAAGTATAATTTTCCAATATTTAGATTTTGAATCATATTCAAAATATTTATTAGTAAAATGCCTTGCGCTAGAATATTATATATTGAATCGATGAAAATATCATTAATATATCATATTATCTAATATAAGAAATATTTAAATAATTTGAATATTTATTATATCATTAAGTTCAACCTCTATTCAATTTTGATTAAATCATCCCTCTCTGAACCTCC